ATTAAGTGTAAATCTCATTCTTGGGCCTTAAACGCATTTCCTGGACAAGTTGAACTACCCAGAAATTTATTTAAAAGCTTGCCAAATCCTGAAGTTATATCTGAAGTTTGTACTTTTTTTAAAAAATTTATTTTCACGAAGTATACTTAATCAAACTAATTTAACCGTACTTTTTCATAGATCATGAAAAAGAATCATATCCCCAACGAATTTCTTAAAATATTAGAGATGAAACTTGAATCCACCAATAGTAAAAGTAGTAAAAGTAGTAAAAGTGACAAGGTTTATATCGTATCTAATTTTAATTACTAAATCTCAAGATATATTTATTATAACATTTAAATTTATATTTTATAGACAAAAATAAATAAAAGAGGGCGAAAGCCTTCGGGTCAAGCTTCTAATAAGAAACGTAAAGCTGATGATTATCATGGAATTCCATCTACTTCAACACGAAAGTAAATATAAATTTTTTAGTAATTAGTTAATTAAATTCGTATAAGAATTAAAGTTGAATTTTTTTTATATATATACATATGTTTAGGACCGTACCAAGAGCTGCTAAATCTAATATAAAATCAATGGCGATTATATCAACTAGTAGTGAAGAAGAATTAGATTCTAATAATGCTTCTGAAGCAGATAGTGATGTAGAATTGAATGACGATGGAGAATAAAATTAATAATTTAGTTATGTATTTTTATGAACTAAACACTTTAATAAAGAATATTTTCATCATATTCTTTGACATCGTCACTTTTAAAAGCTGTCAGCTTCTACGAAATAGCATAATACCCCCTTCTCAACTCTCTTAATTTATATTTAATGAATTAATAAATAGATTTTTTTTTTTATTTACAGTATTTTCATCAAATTAAAAAAAAATAAATGACGCATTTAAATTGGTTTCTTGCTTCACTCTACAGCTTATAAAAATCAATTCTGTATTATATAAATCAAAAAGATCAATAAATAAAACAAAAAAAGACCAAGAAAAAAGCCATTCTAAAAAAAATCTATGGAAGGATTTCAAACAATTATTTGATGAAAGAATGACTACCTTCACAGTAAAAAAAGCTTTTACATACGAAACAAATCCTAGAAAACGACATTCCAATACTGAGTTAATGAGAAAATGGAAAAGATTATCAAGATAATAAGATTTCAATTGATATTAATAAAAATTGTATATTGACAATACTTTGCCTCTTCATTTGATATTTATAAGATCAAGTATAATAGTTTTAAATTTTTTATCATACTTTTAATTTAATTTAATTTAATTTATTTTTTTTTTGATTGAAACCATAAAAGGCACGGAATTTAATAATTGAATTCCTAATGTTTTAATATCAATAATTTTCCTAATAAATATTTATATATTTGCATAATATACATGCTTAACCAACTTAACTAATGCTGATGTTTTCTTTAATAATTTTGACAACCCGATGTTCAACGCTTTGTTAAAAGAAAACGATCATTTATTATATTAACGTTATGGATATAAAACTTAATAATGAAATTATAATGGCTAATCAGACATGCGCGTATGACGTTTTCTACTCCTCTTCAAAATCATTTCGCAAATTATAATAAAGTATTAGGGCATAAGTAGTTTGGTCACAACAGGAAAAAAATGTGCGAGCAAAGAAGCTCTCAAAATTTGTTACTTGGAGGTAAAAAGAGGGGAACCGCGGGAAACAAAAATTTGCTTAACGTTTATTTAATTAATCAAAAATTAAAGTTACTTTATGAAAGAACATCCCAGCTTGAGATGATTATTTAATCACATTTTAATTCTTCGTTGTATTTGAACACTTAATTCTACAAATAAAATCTTCGCACACTGCGTTTTCCAGCAAATATTCATTTTTTAAAGGATCAAAGATTCAAGCAGCTCAAATCACAATGTTGAAGTTAATAATAGAAAGCTATTTATTACTTATCACGTGATTCAATTGATAAGAATCTTACAAAGCCATGCATAAAAATTCTTCTTACTCTCAGTATATATACATGTCAAGTTTCTCCCGATTATAGACGTGTTCATGAATTAAATAAAAATTCTCATCTTTTATTTGTTTTAAAAAATATTTTTTCTTATGATTTAAAATTTAATCCTTTATAGTTCATACAAAATCTCGGACTTAAATAATGTTGCTTATATGTTAAATTTATGATTTATTAAAGAAATACGCAATTGTGTCAATAATGAATGACCAATTCATATACTTTATTATTAAAAGTTTCCTTTCAATATTTATTTATTATATTTTTCATTCTCTATTACTTGTTTGTTTCACTATTTGGTCGCAGATCTCAAGTTCCACTTTTTGGTGGAACTTGCAGGGGTCGAATGACCAGAAGGTTCATCACCCGTGGAGTTAGCACCAGATGGATGGTCGCAATCTGCACATCGCCAAATATACCCGCCCGTGGGCATTGTACGCCTAGGAGGGACCATGCAGGCTAAATGGTACCAATTGCTACAGTATCCACAACGCACCATTCGGTTGACTTTGTCTCTTCCTTTATGTAACATTGACTCTCTTGCACGATTTGGTGTGATATAGGTCGCTGAAGGTTGGTCGTTTGCCGGCGGAATTACGAGTTGGCAGACTGTACAATTTGGTTGTGGTATAGGTGTTCGAGGCTGTATAATTTCTTCCTCTACAGCCTTGACTTTTGGTTTTCGTCCAGCTTTCTTCCTTGTTCCAGTAACTGGTCCTCGTTTTCTTCTCAATTTTGTGCCAGTGTACTGTCCAGGCGTAAGCTGTTCTTCACAATTTGCAGTCTCTGCCGTATCTGCCGTATCTGGAGTATTTGCCATATCCTGTGTTTCCTGTGTTGATGTAACTGATCCTTCCTTCGAATCTTCATCTTGTGATTGAACAGCAACGGTTTCTACATTTTGGGCATCATTGTCTTCTGACGTCTCTTCTGACGATACAGATGTTTCGTTGTCAACTTGAACAATATTATTCGTGCTTGTGCTCGTGATTGAACTTGTGCTCATGATTGAACTTGTGCTCGTGGTTGAACTTGTGCTCAAACTTGTTCTAGCACTTGACATATTACTGGCGCGTGTATTTTGATCAGAAAAATTTAAGAAATCCGCGCTTTCCGATTGGTAAGGGGTAACAACTTCTTCTGAAGATGGAGATGACGATGATGATGAAATGGTGTAAACACGTCCACTAGTGCATGATTCATTATAAAATGAGTCATCGTGAGCATCATGAATTTGAGATTGATCCTGCAAAGTTTCTTCCGTTGCTTCATCCTGGATTTCGTCGTCATCATCATCTATTTGAAATGGCGTAAGTTCTGAAGATCCGGGAATTCTTTCAACAAATTCAGCCGCTGTGACAAGTGCATCTAATCCATTGATATTAGAAGTATTCCCGGCTGGTGTTTGGACATTGCTTGTCACATTATTGAATGTGCTGGTGCCTTCATAGGAACTTGTAAACGTCGGAATCGAATCATTTTGGTTCATTGGTACATATGAATTTGTAAAAGTACTAGTATCCGTTTGATTCGTCGGAACAAAGGGCGTATAATTTGTGGTACGGACAATAAAAGGATTCGAAAAAGGTGTATTAAGTTCTCCTTGGTCAGCATACGAATTTGTAAATGTATTTGATCTACTTTCACTAATACTTGCGTGTTTCGTCGATGGAACTCCAAACGTCATTTGATTGGGACTTAGATCTGCCATAAAGTAACTCTGTTGGAGAGGAGGTGTGTCCGCACTGGTATCAGTAGTACTGCCATATCCGATGCTTTGAGCTGATACAACGTTGTTACTGGGAATAGATTTCTGATACAAACAGTCATTACTATCGTTATAATTTTTAGTAGCCTCATAAAAATAAGTGTGAGCATACGTATCAAAGATAGTTGAAGTGCTTGAAGGAGAGTCATCTACAGGATTTAGTAAATTGCTAATACCAAGAAGTCCACCGCTTCTTTTGTTAAAGGAGATATCTTCATTGATTATGTTGATACTGTCATGTTGGGTTATAAATTCAGGTGTAATTGTACTAATGCTAAAACTTTCACAGGAGGTTGGAGTACTTTCTATAACGTCATTAGTTGTATATTCTATATCTTCACTATCAGGACTTTTGTGTTTGCCGATATTGAGAACAACAGGAAAACCATCCTTTGGTGCAATGGGACGAAGTTTTGGTTTTGGTTTGGGACTAGCCGGAGCTACTTTACGTCGTCGCCTTCTTTTGAAGACCATCTTTGGTTCAACTCTAGTTACCAAGACCGGCTCATTAGGTTTGCACGTGCTCATGGTTTCATTGGAAGTCGTGGACGGACTATCTTGAACTGTTTCTGATGTTTGCTCATCTTGGGCGGGAGATGAAACTTCTTGATCATTGTAAGTACTCTTTGATGTTTTTTCGCTCTTTTCTTTATTAGCGGGTTTTCTCGATCTCTTGTATTGTCTCTTTACTGGAATGGGCTCTGTGACTTCGTCAGCTTTAACTTGATCGCTATTATTGGATTGAATCTGTTCGTCTCCTTCGACGGTGTTTTCAAATGGAACATCTGAAGTTCGCTTCCTTTTACCTTGTCTGGTGTTTCTCTTTGATGAAACGGTTGATGACTCAGTGTTTACTTGACCTGCTTGAACCTCAACCATATCGGTTGATTGAGAATTCGTAGAAAGATTTTCTTGGACTCGCTTTTTCTTTGATAATTCCGTATGATCTTCGGGATTAATATTTGTTGGGTTTTGGGTTGTATCTTCGAAAGTTCCTACTTCTTCACGCTTTCTTTTTGGTCCTCTCTTTGCAATTTCTGCTGCTAACTTGTCATCTCGCCTAATGAACTTCAACCGAGGTTTTGATAATTTTTTAGGCGCGTTGGTTTTTTCTGCTGATTCCGTATCTTTTTGATTGCCACTTTCATCTTCGATTTGCTTTGACTTTCTTTTGACATTTGCGACCCGAGATCTTGTTGTTCTCTTAGGCGATCGTTGTTCTCCACCTTCATCGCCTTCCGGAGTTTCTTTTTGACCCGCGGCCTTCTCTTTTACTTTAATTGGTGCCTTGGGCCTGCCCCTACCCTTGAATCCACCTCGTCGCCCTTTTTGACGAGCCCTTTCTTTCTCTTCTTTGGCCGCTTTGGCCAATGCTTTAACAACACTTTTGATGTTTAAGGATCTCACCTCGTGTGTGTTAAGCTGACTTACTTTGATGGTTTTTGCGGTTGTTCTTGCTTCTGTAGTCCAGCGAATCTTGGCAATACTCGTCATCGTTTCCATTAAGTTTTCGATTTTCATTGCCTCGTCACTAGTCTCGACATTAACGTTCCGCATTTGTGGGACCAAAGATATAACGGCCTTACTTGCTTTATCAAAATAATTTTTTAAGGCATTTTGTTCGGCCTTCGCAATAGGGATCTTTACCCGAAAATCTATTGCGTTGTTTATTGTCTTTTCCTTCGTTTCAAGAAGGGCGCTATATTTTGATGATAGCCGCACGAATCGTCGCCGGATATCCGTAATTCGTTTCTCGCGTTGTGAGGTGTACTCAGCATACGTATCTTCGAAAATTTCTCGAATATTTCCACCGGGCTCCCCGTCCTGGAATTGAGAACTACGCTCTTTCCAGCGTCTGGAGGATTCGTCCTCAAGGAACATGTCTCGCTTTCGGATCCACCTTTCGACTTTGCTTTTCCGAGGTTGATCACCTGACCCATGTAGTCTGCAGTACTTTTTTTTTTAATGAAAAAAAAGAGAATAGAATTCGTTATTATATAAGAACAATGAATGGCATCGCGTGAAGTAACGAATCACGAGATAGAAATCTATGCTGCAAAATTAAAAAAAATTACGTACGATAAAATACGGGTCCGAGATGTCCTGTTCTTCCAAGTATTCGGTGAGCCCAAAGGACACCGCACACGTTGCGTGAATCCAATTCTTACACTGTCCAGCATCACAATGTATTGACGCTCCTTCATCACTGTTACAGACGTTGCATTTCTGAAATGAAATGTTATAAATACCTATTAATATAAAGTTAAAATCATTCAGATTTTTGAAACAAATACTTACTTTACCCCAGTTCTTTGGATCGACATTCACGACTTGAATGTCTCTCAAGTCAAGAGCCGAACCAATATGCATGCCCGGCATCCAAAATGCGCATAAAATGTGTATCCAAACCAATGGATCATTAGGATCACAAGAAGCCCTTACTTTTCGAAAAGCTCCATTGTCATTGGGACACAAGACGCAGTGCTGTTAAATGGGAATAAACGCTTATTTATACATAACACTACAGAATAAATATAAATAATAAATAACAAATATCTTTTATACGATTCGCTTACCACTGCTTCCGAAGGCATCGCAATACAACGATCACAGTACCATGGGTCTTCCTTCAATGGGAGTGTTGTAATCCCATAGCAATCTAATAAAAATAATAAAAAAGTATGTGATGGTTAGTAAAAAAAAATAATAATAATAATAATTAAATCATTGAATAAATCGTGTAAATCCAAAAAAACTGCGCCACATATAGTTCGTACCTTGATGTACGACGACATCACATTCTTTGCCATCACAGTAAACAAGAACATTTTCTTTAGTTGCATCTTCATCTATACAAACGCAACAAAGTCCTGGGTCTGATCTTTTCTATTAGCGATAAAAAAAAAAAAAAGAATAAAGAATATATAAGAAAATAATCAGATATTTTAGATATTTTTTTTGACCGGCAATTGTAACAGTAAATAATATTTCGAAGCCAAATATTGCAATAATGTTATCTTTTACTTTTTTTTTTTCCAGCAAAAGTAATTTTTATTTTATTTTTTTTTTAAAAAAAAAAAAGCTTACCCATTTTCGTAGCCACTTTGCCCTTGGTGACTGGTCGGGTTCGTTTTCTTCTGAACAACTTTGTTCCCCTTCCTGAACAACAGCAACTTCATTTTGGTTGCTGTCTCCCTCTTCACCTTCATTGGCTGGTTCTGGTGCTGGTGTTTGTGTTTGTGGCGCTGGTGTTTCTTCATGATAACTAAAGTCGCTATCATTTTGTTCGCTCACAACAGTATTTTGTGAACTTACGTTGATCTCTTGTTCGCTCAACGTACCTATTTCATACTCATAATCAGTATTTGTGACTTTTCTGGCAGCTCTTCGTTTTCGCAGAGTTGCCATATTTTGCTTTGTTGTTGGCCTATAATTATTTTATCAAATAAAACAAATGAGGAGTGTTTTTTTTTTTTTTTTTATTTTTTTAAAAAAAAGTATTTTTTTCGATGAGTTTGCACACTTTTGATAAATGCGAATTTAATTAAATATTAGTCTCAGACGTGCCGGTTGCTCTGAAATTTTAATGGATTTCAGGTTTTTAACGAATCAGATTTCTAGCTTTTTTAATGACGGGGGGGTATCTGAGTAATATTTACCGACTGAAAAAAAGTTTTCTAAGTCTAGTAAAAAAAAAAAAAGATATTTCTTTTTTTTTTTTTTTTTTTTTTAAAAAAAAAAAATGCAGCAAGTTTTACAAATCTAGAGTTATCAGTCTAAAAAAAGAATTGAAACTATATAAGGCTGTTCACCATTATGTAAAAAAGCTTATAAACTTTTTTTATTTTTCAAAATAAGCATAAAATATTTATGTAAAGTACAAGAACTATGGTATAAGTTATCTTTGAAGATTTTAAAGATTCCGAAAGTCACATCTCTAAATTTATAAAGCCATTAACGTTGGGACTCATATAGTCATTTAATCCACTTTTGAAAATTAGAAAAAAAAAAAAAAATTAATTAATAGTATCTGCCTAGGAAATCCACTCACTCATTATATTTTGGAATATATGAAAACGAGGCAACTTCAAAAAAGAAACCGAATTTATTTTATGCTTTTAACATTAACATAAAAAAATATTTTTTTTTGAGTTTCCTCCCTTTCTACTACTACAAATCGCCCATATTTGTATGTTTAACACTTATTTGAATAAAATTAGATTATGTGTATACATATACTGTATCTTAAACATCTTTTAACATTAAAAATCTAATTGTTTGTAAAAAAAAATATATATATCATATAATTCTAGAATAAATTCCTGATTTTCTCGGAATTTCCTATTATGGTCTGGAAACATTCACCAAAAAAAAAAAAATGGGGCTGAGTATCAACAATTAAGGAAAAGCTCAAAAACCCCCACACTTTTTGTGCTACTTTTGTTTGATTGAACGATTTATTGCAAAAAAATGTTGTATTAAAATGGTTGAATTAACATAATTTTTTTTTCAAAAGAATTAATACTGCGGTATTGTAAATCGCTTTTAAAGTTTTTAAATAATATTATCTAAAAAAGTCGAATTCTTTTTGAATCCTTACATTCAGTTGAAATATGATTTTATTTACGTTGTTGTAATAACATATATTTACCAACCTTTGTCTTTGAATGGAATCAATTAATTGATGTTTGCCTATAAAGATATCATCAAGCAAAAATGTACGTATTTTTAGTTCATCGGAGAATTAAATTAGGGTGTAGCCACGTGGAATAAAACAAACTAACTAAAGTGCAATTGTTTATCAAATTTAGTAAGACATTTATCGTCAATTAATTGCTCATTGTTTGTTTGCCTTTACTATTTTGGTTATACTCGTGAAACAGGTTAATGTAAATCTAAGATCTTCGTTTGCGGGCTTGCATGATGAATTTTATACCTTTATCTGATAAAAACAAAGAAGGAATGATAAAGATTCTTGGTTTTATTGATGGAATTTTAAATGTTAAGAGCAACATTGGTGATTATTTGATATTGTAGATCATGGCGAAAAAAAGAAATCCTCGGTCTGATCTTCGCGGTTGATCTTCGCGGTCGAGCTCAATTCTTGAAAATTTCATTCATTAGATCTTCTCAAACATTTTCTTAATAAAACATTCAAAAGATAAAAATTACACGAATTAATCGAAATTTCATGATAATTATTCGACTAGATGATTCATTCATTATATAGAAAATCTTTTACAATTGGTTGATGTAAACTTATTTTTTATCCCTTTTAAACGGTGATGCAGATTGCCTGCAACTTTACCGAAAAATTCGACTCTACATCACCTTTTATGCATATCACGTGATTATGGTCATCCCTCAACTTGTAGTCGCAATGTAAGGTTTTCAAATTAATCTTACACCGAAGAATTAGATCAAAATTTTTTAATCCAATATGTTGAATTTATTGATTTAAAATATTTTTGCGTCTTGCCAGTGTTACCTGTAACGTTGCATAAA